ATTACTCAGATGTGAATTGGGTTGAGTCAACTAATGTTTTGGTTCATAAAGCGTACAAACACATTATTTAAACAAATAAAGTTAAAATTTGGGGTCTCAAACCCAAAATTCTATTGCAATAAGTTGTCCTAAAACATCCCTGACAGATGTTCAAACTAATGTGTTCATCTAAAGCAACAGCACAACAATCTGCCAGGCAGGAAGGAAGACGGGTCACACGGCTCTGGGTTGCCAGGTAGATTCTTCCACCCCATGGCTCTATTTCCAGCAAGAGCTTGAGGTGGGTCCAAAAGCTCTAGGCCTCACAGCTGCAGCCCTGATGTGAACCGACAGAGCTGTCTGTGAGCAGGTGGCGTGTTTCCTAGCCCATCCAGGATCTGTAGATGTCGCTGTGGCAGATACACACACTGCCCCCCCCATGCTTTTTATCAGCTGTGTGGAAGCATTGTAGAGTGACTTAATTTCCCTGTGCGCTCCCGTTCCTTGTTCATGGTGTGACAGTGAAAAATGGTTCGTCGGCTGGCTTCTTTTGCCAGGCGATGCGAGGGCAAACGACGGAACATCTGGCAACGGAGCTCAGTCTCCAGGGTTGTTTTTGGCACGTGCTACTGGCTGCCGTTTCCACTTTGACTCTCGTTTTATTTTCCACAGTCACTTTCCTCCGGACTCTTTGACCAATGAGAGCTCCGTTGATGGTGAAATTATATCTCAAATCTTTATAAACAGGAATGTAAAAAACTCATCATGACGCTGTGAGACCTGGGCATATTTTCTCTCGTTTTTAGTAACGCATCAAGTACGCAACCCAAAAAAAACAACAACCTGGAAATAATGTTGGGAACCTCTGGAGTAGAAGAACATTTACAGAAGTGATCATAAGTTTATGTACTTTGGCGAATTTTTTATTTTTTGGCCATTTTTTCAGAAAAACATTAACGTTAATACAAATCCATTTCCCCCCACTCATAGATAGTGGTTGCATGACTCCATTGAATGTCAAACAACTTTTTATTCTTTAAATATCTAACTACAGAACTTTTAAAATGACCCTGATCAAAAGTCTACTTTGTTTAGCTCTTAATATTTTAAATTCCCCGTTTAATATCAGCCTGATGTCTCTTGAGGTAGTTGTCGATGAGGTTCTTTATCGTCTCTGTTGGCAAAGCACCTCAATCTTCTTGGCAAAAAGCCTCAAACTCTTATAAATTCTTGCATGAGCTGCACGTTTGAGTTCTCCTCAGAGTAATTATTGTTCTGGTGGAACCAATGACAAATGGACTCGGCCTTGTGTTTCGGATCGTTGTCGTGTTGGATTGTCTAATAACGTCCTATGAACAGCTTCCAGGCTGTTGATGCATATTTTCCCCCAGGATCCTTTGAAGTTTCCTGTGTCTTTGGAGCTCACAGTTACCCAAAACATCAGTGACCCACCTCCATGCTTCACAGTGGGGATTGTAGCCGAAAAGTTCAATTTTGGTCCCATTGCTCCAAATAAGTAAAAAATAACACTGTACAGCAGTGGAAGAACTGTAGGAACCTAATTTAATTCTAGTAATTATTTTGTAATTTTTGGATCTAATACTAAAGCCATAATACATAATTTTCAAAGGTAGAATTGATTACATTTGAAAGAAAATAAATGAAAAAAAATTTAAAAAGAGAAAAAAAAGAATAACATTTTTTTCTAGCTATAAACTAAGCCCTGACCTACTTACAAATCATGATTCATTTTGTTGTTTCAAGAAGTGACGCAATAACGTCTGAAGTGAAAGAGCGAGGGATAAACTACATCATGAGCTCAGATGTTAATGTTAAGTCTCTACTTACATAAGCAGAAACTTGAAAAGAACTATTGACTTTGCCTGACTCTGCAGGTGTTGTGCACAAAAGAAAGAATGCAGACGAGCAGCAACGTCTTTCAACGCAGTTACATCATAACTACACACAGTAGCAGAGCTGAAACACTGTTGAGCCTTGTTGCCTAGCAACAGCAAACATTGCAAAACATTGTTGAAAATACAGTTAGGGAAATGATTATTGGCTCATTCTGTACATAGACAGAAAAAAGGATCAGTCTATAACTTTAAAGGAAGGTTCATGTCATTTTTTTATTCATATGTAAACTAATTTTAAATATTAGTTTCTTTTACATTTGCCCATTTTAATCAACTGTTTAATGAAACTTCAACTGCGTCCCCAGGCTTCTTCTTGAGCCACTTCTTTGTACCTTGGTCTAGTGTTCTGGGTCATTGTCATGCTGGAATGCCCGTCTATGACTCATTTTCTTTCTACTTTAAACTTTTTAAACCTGAATTGTGTCAGGTTCAGGCGTAATTTATATTAGTGTACATGGGCTCGGGTCGAGCTCCGGGTCTGCGGTGCGCGGTCATGTAATGAACTTATGTGGCCGTGGCAAACTGGAGGAAAGACGCAGTGGAGGTGAAAGAGAAGCTCATCTCTAGAGAACACCCTTTGTATAAATATATTTGTGCCATGGTCTGTCTAAATACTGGATTATGATTGGCTATCAATGTTGCTTTAATTTGCATACAAGTCATGAATATGCAAATCAGTAACCAATAGGAGAGGGACTTGTCACAAAGTTTTCTGTTTCAAGAATAAGCCTGGGTTAGAAAATAAAGAGATGGAATGTGATTTTATATGAAAATAGGAACTATTTTTCTGGTTAGTCACAGGGTTGTGGGTAAACGACACGACACCTGCTGCTTTCATCGTTTCAGCCGTGTATTCAGCTCAGATTATATTTTTTTATGTTGGCAATGGTTTCTACTGTATTATAAGAACTTGGTGGAGTGGGTTGGGCTAAATTCTCTCAGGCTCAGGACAGATGGAACTTTTTAGCCCCGAATTAAGCTCTAGAACACATGTCAAACTCAAGGCCCGCGGGCCAGATGTGGCCCGCCATGTAATCTAGTGTGGCCCGCGAGAGCTTAAAAGTTTAGAGTGTCTAAAAAAAAAGCGAAAAAGAAAAAAACTACATTTCCCACAATGCCTTTGACCTACGGTTGCCGCAATGGTGTTTCCGCATCCATACTCATGAGTGAAACTGTAGAGTTGCCAACTCTCACACATTGAACGTAAGACTCTCGCATTTGAGCGATCTCTCACGTCACATCTCCGATTTTTCACGCTAAAATGAATTTCAAGATGTGAAATGGGCGGAGCTAATAGTTTATCTGTGATCTGTTTCTTGAGCCTGATGATAGAAGATGATGATCGACATGCATCGTCTTAAGTCTGTGAGGGTTTTTTTCTTTTTTCGCTAAACAAATTCCACCAATGAGCTCAGATAAATGGCAGAAAGAGAAAAGTTGATGCTGACAGAAGACTGTTTAGAGAAAGATGGGAAGGTGAACACTTGTTTGTGCTTCAAGGAGAAAGACTAGTGTGTCTTTTGTGTTACGATGCGGTGTCGGTTGTCAAAAAGTACAATCTGCGTCGACATTTTGGCAAGCTAGCCTTCAAGAAAGGCAACACATTGCCCAAAAATTGAAAGGCAAGCTGCGGTCACAGCAAAGTTTGTTCATAAACTGACAAAAATCAAAAGGATTTATATTAGAACAATAAGCATACAATTGTTTCTATGCAACTGAATTGAATGACTGCTCTAGAACATGGCCTTATTTATTAGTCGATGGGCAAAATCCAAAGGGGGTCAAAAACTCTCAGAAACAGCGAGCTAGCCATTGCGCATCTAAAAAAGTGAGTTAGCATGGCTAGTTATATTGGATTAATGTAGGTTTCAACAAAACTAATCTGCTTTCTCAGATGAATCCAAACCCTTCCATCAAACCATCATCACTGTTAACTCTGTTCCTTCACTAATCAACAGCAGCTATCTTTCTTGGTTTACAGATAGATTTACGGTTAGACTTGCAGCTAGATTCAAAGTGTCATCAGGGTATTAAATAATAACACAAACACACACGATGACTCAAAGGAAGCTACTACTGGAAAGCACTCAAAAACCTTCATTCATCAGCCCTTTATTTAGTCATCATAATATAAGAATCTAATTTATATTCAATATGGAGAGTTTACTTCAAGCTCTGACTCTTGGAACACCCTTGCAGGCCCTTGGTCATACTTTATGGAGGATATAAATGTCAGATCATGTACTGTGATCTGAAATGATCCAAACATTGTTCGGAAATCCCTCTTGATACACACCGTGAATGGAGTGCTGGAGTGATTTATGTCTGTTTGGAGTGGAGAGGGCTATAATCGTAAAACGAGGAGATTATTTTAAAGGCAGCCGGCAGGAGCTTCAGACCTGTCGGAGCTTGCTCTCCGGCTGGAATGGGAGAGTATTTATGATCGCAGGCCAAAGGGCTCTGAAACACACTCACTTTTATGTACTGATTACCTCCTAAAGAAGTAGTTCCCACTGAGCATTTCCAGTTAAACCAAAATGAAATCAATTTGGTTAAATAGTGGTTCATCCAAAGAAAACTGTGTTAAAGCAACAATCAGTAGCAATAACATTAACATTTTTATCTGACTTTGATTTGCCTTTGTGGCCAAGCTTTAACTCAACTCACAGCGTTTGGAGGAAGAGAAAGAATGGTGTCAATGCACCAAAAAACCCTGAGATATGGTGGACGGAACCTTATGCTTTGGGGGTGCTTTCTGCCAAGGAATAAGGACTTAATGATGTCAAAGTTTTAAAGAGATGACCGAAAGACCACCTAAATTTCTTTAGTCATGGCATTAAGAATTAGTATTTCAGCATACCAATGACCAAGACATGCAGTCAAGGTGTTGAAAATGTAATAAATACAATAAACCTTGATTTGAGCACTGATTTGTTTACTAACTATGCTTTTTTGGTTCTTAAGAGTTGCTTGATGCTAAAAGGACAACCTTTTTATGCACAATCCATGCACAAATATATCTATAAATGTAAATTGAATACTTGATTTAACTTTTATCCAAAACGACTTACTTTTCAAGGAATGAACCCATTTTAATCAGTTCTTGCTTTCCCTGGGGGTTTGAACCCAAAACCTTTGGGTTGCTAGTGCAATGCTCTACTGACTATGCCACAGAAATTCTTAATGGGGAGCAAGCCAGTGTTCAGAAAAAGCACATTTGTGTACCCCCTGTGTTCTACTAAAAACTCAGTGGAAACCCAAGGAAAGTATGTTTGAGAAGCTGAGCACATTACCAGAGGGCTATGTGTGCCAAACACAGCTGCTGTTTTGTATTGAATAGGAACGACACAACCCAGCTTTTGTTTAATTTTGGATTTCAAATATTATGTGGTTTCAAAAAGGTATATTTTTAGTTTTAAACAAATATTTTATCTGTTATATAAGTTATGACGTATATTTTGCAAGGTATTTCAAATGAAGATGTTATAAAATGCAAGATAATCTTTCGTTTTTTTTATATATATACAGCATATCGGTGCCATCACTGCCAACTAGTGGTGAAAACAAGGAATAACCCCTTGGAAGTACAAGACCTGTGATATGACTTCAAAGTTCCGGCACAATAAAGCAAAATGGGAGAAAAAAAGCGCTTGGAACCGTGTGTAAGATTTTAGTCTTTGCTTTTGGGGTGCATTTATGAATTTTTATTTTAGCTCAACATTTTTTGTTTTTGTTTTGACATATGAAAACTATTAATTCTCAGTTTAATACTCGGAATTGTATTTTTGTACAATTTCAGTTTTGTTGTGGAATTATTGTGTAATGTAAAGAAAAAATTATTTGTAAATAAAAGAAGCAAGGGTTGTGCTAAAAATATTCATCAAAACTGCCCAGACTACTGACGGTTAATGTCTTCCTAATGTTTATAAATGGTTGTTTTTCTATTATTGGTATGATTTTCATTTCTTTGTGAGCTGGGTCATTTTCAAACCTCAGCCTTGCGATAAATTATATCTGTTTCCATATAATTCTGGATCAGACTCTGGTTTATGACCAGTCCCGCCACAGTAACCATTGCAATGTTACTTTCAAAACAATGATATATTGGCTTATTTTATATATTGGCTTTTTAAAAATGCATCTTATTTGCACCTTCTAACACAGCATCTGAAATGACTCAAAGCTCCTGGGAGGCAGTTTCTTATTCGTGCCAGGTTTTCAGTTTCTGGTTCACACTTTTGAAAAACATTTGTGAGGTTTAAGAAGCTGGAAACAGCCTCTCTTTCTGTGCACTGTGTGTGCGTAACCCCAGCAAACTGAGCCAAAGAAGTGGAAAAGACTAGTTTTGACCGTGTTTGTTTGTGTAAATTGAAAAACGTCACATATTCATGATGCATGTAATTAAATATAGATACTTGATCCCTTAGATAGAAATGTTAGAAAAGCCCCAATTCTCTCAAATGGGTGACGAAACATCCAGAAAGAAAGTTTTTTCCTATTTCCGTACAATCGGACATCCATAAACTATATATTAAAAGGCAATAAATGTAAAAAAATGAACCATAATTCAGTACCATGATTAAAAAGTAGCATAAAAAAATGTATACTAGTACATGGCTACTACTATATAATTCCGATTATGAGCCTTTCTGAGGGTAGTCTACATGTTCTCCACAGATTTGTGTAGTTTTGTCCCTGTTCAACAGCCTTTGGAGATTCTAAATAACTGGAGGACCAAGAAGAATCCTCTAAGGGGACATAGGAAATTTATGTAATACAATTTAAAATGCTTAAATATCTGAAAAAGCAACGTAAAATAACAATCCATGGCTATCCTTATTTAGAAACCTCACAGGAGATTTGGTTTTTCCCTGTTTACGCCAAACTGAACCCCGTTGACAAACATAAAAGCGCATTAAAACAAGCTTGACTGCTGTTTATACTAATCAAAGTAGCGTCTCCATCACTGAAGCGCAGGAATGGAAAGTTGTGGGGAAATGTTTCAATTTACAGAGCCATTAATTCAAGCTGAATGCTACTGTACGAATAAAAGAGACATTGGCAATGTTTTATAGAGCAGAAGCACAGAAGATTAAACCCAGCGTTGATTTCAAAACCGTCTCACAAATCCTCATTTTACGAGTCCTTTACTATGGGGTTCTGGGGTGTTACTCCTGGGCGACTCGTATCTTTCCCAGTACATTTTACAAAGCCTGCTCTGGTTTTGAAAAGGAGAAAGAGGATAAATCATGTTTGTGGTCTCCTTTCAGCAGCGTGCTCTTCTGAGTCAGCTGCTGATGCTTTTACAAGGATTTTGACGGGTGTGAGACGGAGTTTTCGTGGCCTGTGAACGGTTCACTTTTTACAAGCTAGCGCCGTGCCGAGGTGATTGTTCCTCTGGGACCCTGAAGCTCACAGAGGAGGAAACCAGAGCTGCTTTTAAGCAGTTAATGCACTATTTAAAACATCCTACAATCAAACCAAACTCCAGAATGACAAAGTAGATGGTGCATCTGATCCCCCTCGACTTTCGTTTCTCGATCATCTTAGAGCAAAGTAGGTTGCTCCTCGTGCAATGCTCTCCCGTGTGCTCTACTTTATGAAACCAAGCCATTCCCACTGCATGTGATCCTTTATCTCCCTTAAGTTTAGGAGACAAACTATTACTTTGCAGCTTCCAACAAACACAATCGCCAATACATGACCTCAATTTCCAGGTATATGTTAAATTACAATTAACCACTCTTTTCTTCCAAAATAAATCATGTGATGGACTTTTCTTAACTTGCCTCAACTTTTCAGGCTCTAATTTGTTGAAACACAAAGTCAAAAGTGCATTAAAATCCTTATTTTACAGAGACCAGTCTTGCTACTACGCTTCAGAAGAGTGTGCCCATATGAAACACCTTCTTGAGCCACATCCACAACCTTCTGACCTTCATGTTCAGTAGCACGAAACCCTGGCATCTCATGCGGCATGCGGTGTGTGAACTTTGGAGCCTGGGTCTAACACACTCACTGCCTTAACATGTATTATAATGAGATCTTCAGAGGGTGATAAAAGCTCAGCTGAGCCCCAATATGGGTCCTCGGGGTCACGTTGTGCTTGCTTTCGGAAAGTAGACTGGCGCAATTCACATGCTCATTTATCACCATCAATAGCCGAGTAAAGGAACAGGGGAAAGTGACCGTTACACATATTAGCAATGGAAGAGTTTTGTAGAACAGCTCTGCGGGTAGTTAACCTCATCAGTGGTGCAAACACATTGTACAACCGCAACGCATCACATGCAATGCATTCTAATGAAATGCTAAAGGTTAATACCCCGAGATACGAATGCTTCGAGTTACCAAATACGAAAGGTCTCGAGATACGAAAAAAATTCCAAGATACGAAAAACCCCAACAGTTCTACTCAACTATCCGCTTGTTAAGTCTGACGTCGTGCTGCGCTTCCGGGTGCTGGCGCTCCGTTCTCCCATTGCAGACAGTGCTAAAAGGAGCTGATACACTTTAAATCAGTTTTAAATCGAGCGAAACATTATGTACAGATTACCAATAATCTACTATAACAAATGTTAGAGTCAAGGTGTCGTAAAAGAAATAACGTTTATAATGAGCAAAGTGCTGCTCTGTAGCACAAGAGAGAGAAACCCTGTGACACGTTCTCAGAAGCGTCTCTCTCCAGTACGAACGGTGCTGTCTATGGAATATGTCTGGAATATGACGCTACTGTACACTCCGAGATAGTGGAGACAAGATGACGAAAACAAATGCAGCGTTTCCACTGACCTGCTTTGCAACAGCACGGCTCGAGTCGGGGGTGGCTTTTCCACTTTATCATTTTCGCTGGTATTTTTTCATACCCATTTGGATGGGAACCTGAAAGCAGATAGAATTAAATCCGGTAAATTCATAGGGATGTGAATTAAGGAAATATGTTTCCTTTAAAATCTCAAAACCTTTAAAAAAAACACTACTCTTTCAAGAGCATAAAAAAAACTCTGAAGCACTGAATTTATTCTGAATTACACCACTTCTGAGACCTTTACTTTAAAATACATGTTTGTAAATGTTTTGCTTTCACTTGACAATGTTATTTCAAATTTGTGAAATAACTGTGTGTACATTTTAATTGTTTGATGCATTTATGAACTGAAGCAAAAAAAGTGAGATTATATTGCAATTGCATCCAAATTATGTTGGTAAAAAACAGCATAAAAGTAACAGAAACAGACATAGAACTCTTCTCCATGATGACTAGAGGTTGATTTCGGTGCCTATATATTGCAATCCAATCGACAATAACTCTCACGTGCATTGCAAGAGTTTTAGAATGTAGGTTCTGATGCAAAAAAGCAAAATCAATTATTTATTGAATACATTCTACTACTAGAACGTAAATATTATAGTAGTGTTATTTTAGATGCATTGTAGAAATTATAATAAATATATTGAGTAAACTGTAAAAATTTAATATTTTAAGCATTAAGTAAAAGTACAATTAAAAAAATTAGACTCTCAGAAAAAAAACGCCATCACATAATATTTTTATTTCTTTAATTCGCATTAAAGATATAAAATCATAGACTTTGAAAATAGACAAAAAAGCAGCGTACTGCAAAATACAAACAGTGGGACTCAGTCATTCGGGGAAGGAGTAAAAAGAAAAAGACAAAGCTAAAGATAGATTTCAAAAACTTTGGTTGCTAGGGTACTTGGTCTGGTTGCTATGGGTCAGTGACACAATTTAATGTTCCTCATGTCCATGTGAGTAAAATAAACCCCCCACCCCCGTGTCTCTATCATTTACTTACGCCAAAGATAGATTTCAAGCTTTTTGGTTGCTAGGGTAAAAGGTCTGGTTGCTATGGGTCAGTGACACAATTTAATATTCCTCATGTGGATATGAGTAAAATAATCCAACCCCACATGTTTTTATCATTTACTTAAGTTAAAGATAGATTTCAAAAACTTTGCTATGGTGAATAGTTTGGTTGCTTAGGAGCTATCAGTCATAAAAATTACGTCACAAAGCGTTACTATGACTTACATAATAAAAGCTCAGATCCTCATTTATTTTCAATGGCCACAGTAAGTCAATGGTAAATCTTTCATTATTTCTAGAGCAGCTGGTTTTGCAGAGTGGTTGGTATATAATTACAAACCTCCACAAAT